AAGAGAAGGGAAGATACCATTCTGCAGTTCCTTCCAGACGATGCAGCCTGTTCCAATACTTCACAACCTTTTCAGTAAAGAAATTTCTCCTAATATCCAACCTAAACTTCTCCCAGTGTAACTCAAAGCCATTTCCTCCCATCTTATGGTGCCTGGGAGAAGAGATTGATCCCTACCTTGCTATAGCCTGCTTTAGGGTAGATTTGGCCTATTTTTTTTTATTTTTATTTTTATTTCTGCAGGTTATTCGTGAGGTAGCAGTGATTTGCAAGATTGATTATACATTGTTTTGGGGATATAGGAATTTCTCACACCAGAGGAAAGGCAGGGCTTGATGAGAACAATATTACGAAGGAAGGAAGTGCTTGTTTGGGTGAGTGGGAGCATTGAGCACGGCTGTGGATTAAAGGAGAAGCTGAGCCAGGCTCTGTGCAATCAGCAGAGCCATCAGCGTGGGAGCTGGAGGCCTTGAGAAGAGGGAGAACCAAGTGCCAAAGCCAGAGAGGAGGGCTGGGCAGGGAAAAACCCACACCTAAAAGCGTATCAGCATTCAGACCAGAGAGATATTGATCAGGGATTTGCGCAGGGAACAGAGAGGATGGAGAAAGCCCAAACAATTATGCTTTGAAAGCGATGTTCGACTTGAATATTTACGGGCGTTTATGGGCATGATCGCTCATTCTGAATGGCCTGCACACTGATTCATGAGGCTCAGAGCTAGCTGAAGAGCATTGTGGTATATCAGACCCCGAATAGCCAACAGCTTTTTAAGTCTAAGCAATTAATTAAATGCAAACACAGACAAATAGGAAAGTGTTAAATAGTGCTCAGCTAGCAGCTAAAAATTGAATGCATTAACTTTCAAAACTCAATCTCAAATTCCCAATTAGAGAAAAACTGCTCTGCAAAAGGCTTTGTGCTGTCTCCTGGGACAAGGTGAGAAGGGACAAGGCTGCTTTTCTCCAGGGAAAAAGCAAGCCTGGATGATCCAGCCACCCCTGTACTCCTCAGAATGACTCAGATCCTTGATGCCAAGTCTGACAATATGTTGCTGAGTGAGTGGTAGCAGGGAGAAAGTGACTGTGATAGAAGGCAGCACGGCAGGAATAAACAAACAGGTGCTGACGGCCAAGTGCTGAACACTGCAAATGTCCCCCAGCAGATGCCCCAATTAAATAAAATGTGAAGTCACAGCATCCGCCTGAGTGACTGAGCAATCCGACATGCACTCGTCATCTCAGGATGCTTGATGTTCATGGGAAATAACAATAACTAAAGCCCCCGTGTTACTTTGCTTCTAGCTTGTGTGTTTTAAAACAAATAATGAATAAATAAGTAAATAAATAAACTCCTGAATGTGAACAGTCTTCCTCTGAATCATTTCTCAAAATTAATGTTTTCTCTTGCTTCTGAGAGGATACCTTTACTAGCCTGCTCTCAGAGGCTGTAAAACTGTTTTTGAACCTAGTTTTATCAATGAAGAAAATGCTAATTTTTTGGTGAAGATTCCTCCTACTGCTCTCCTCTGCTTTGACAGATGCTGCTGTAAGGGTTCCTCTCGCCTGCAGGCTCAGCCCACCTCTCTGCTCAGCTTTTCATACACAACAGGCTGTGAAAGCACACAGCCTGCCCGTGGTAGTCAGTAGAAAAATCTCCAAATATTCTCCAGCAGGATTAATACCAGTTGAGAAGCAGTCATGCTAAGGATGCTTTATGTCAGGGCTGTCCAACTTCCACAGCCCCACCAGGCATCATTTGTGTCGCTCTTTGCAGGTGGGTGAGTCCAGCGGTGGCACTCAGATCATGGGGAGGTGATGCAGAGCTGTGCTGGATGCGACTACCCTTGCTTTATACCCTAGAGAATGAAGGCATTCAAAGCAGTATTTTTACAATAAATATCATTCAGCCTCAAGTTCTCCGCGTGACATTCAGTGGTTTGCCAAAGGGACGAGAAACCAGCAAAATGGGTACAAGTCCTCGAGCAAGCAGCCGAGAAGCTATTTAGTTGGGGCAGCCTGCTTATGGCTGAGCTCAGATTTTTCCTAAACCTGGCCAGAGATTATGCAGGATGCTCAGCTGTGCCTGTGACGGGGGAAGCAGCAGGGCTCGGAGTGCCAGTAGGGCCGACAGATTGCTGAGCAGATCAGGAGGCAGCAAAGCCCCGGGGCCAGCAGGATAGCCGTCCCTCTCCACCAGCCGAGGGGCCTCAGGCATGTTTGTAGCAGCTTACAAAGAAAAGAGCAGCAACCCAGGAGGGTTCTCTGCTGCTTCACCCCTTTGCTCGTTGTGCAACAGGTTTGGGGTAAAAGAGTATTTTTTTTTTCAGAGCCCGTGTTCCTGGGTGCACACTGTGTGAGGTATTCCTTGAAGAAGAAGGCTTGGCATCAGGTGCACATGAGCAGAAGGAACCTAAGAGCTGCTGGCCACAAAGACCAGAGCTGAAGACAGATGAAGACCACTGAAGACCAGAATTGAAGATGCACTGAAGACCTTACCCCTTCCTTCAGGGAGATGTATCACCACGGCACACACTGTCCATGGCACAGTTTCCCTCATGCAAGCCATTTCTTGGGATAAAATCAGTCCTGCCATGACACAAACCAGGCCTTACTAACCCCCTGCTCCTTTTAAAGATATTATATTTTATGTTGAAAGTCATAGGACAGCTCCTCTTCCCAGCAGAGCAAACCAACTGGGGAGAAGAACAAACCAGACGATACAAGTGGAGCCCCCTTTGTACCCAAAACTGTATCTTCATTAAAATCTCTGTTTTTCCTTCTGATCACGGCAGCAGAGAGATTCCTGTTAATCAGAGACCCTCATCCTCTGCTTGTAACTTCTCCTCACCCTCTGCATTACCCATTTTTCCACATCTGGTGTACACAGTTACTTTACCTGCCCATGGGCACAGTCTCCTTTTGGGCAGGGGGAATGCACCCGCACTAAGGTATGAAGCTTGGCACAGATGTCTGCTCTTGTAAAGGTTTTCCCCTGTCTGATAAGTGCAGATGCAGATCCGCGATAAGGCGATGAGGGCTGCTGAGATATTAGCCTGAGTTTTACAGGGAAGAAAAACGGAGAAGCTGAACTGAGGCATTTGTTTTAAAACAAGAGACTTCTGCAAACAGCTACAAGGGAACTTATCCTATTTTGTTGTTCTTCCAAAGTCCATTTGCTGCCCAATTTTAGCAAGAGTGGCTGGATGTATTTCTGGTAATGTTGCTGGTCAGGGCTAGCAAAGTGACATTAGGAAAACCTTTCTGGAGCTCCTAAGGTGCTTGCTTTCATATTTTGCCTCTTGTACCAGTCACCAGCATGGATGCAAAAGGGAAAGAAAAACCTTTGCAAAAATCTGTAACTGGTATTCCAGGGGCTTACAGAAAGCCCTACTGCTCCCCAGGCAGATGGTGGCTTAAAAAATAAATAAAATAAAAAAAAAGCTGGGCTGATGCTAGCACTGTGTTTCCATGGGAACAGGGAGGTGAGGATGATGCATCGGATTTGACCAGATGAGAAGCAGGTTCAGGATTAGGATTAGGGAAGAAGTGGCCAGATTCCTGCTGCCACCCAGAGCTTCTCTTACACCGCTAAACACAAAACAGGGCTCTTCAAAGGACTGCACTAGCACTGCATCCACCTGTCTTGGTGTAGACTTCATCAATTTAAAAAGAAATCAGTGCCTGAATGTGTGTATGAGTGTTGGAGCACATTAGCTTCAGCAACCCTTGCAAAGTGATGGTATAAGTGAAAATTGGGTGTGCAGCTCTCAATTTAAGACAAGGTACATGGTGTTGATGGTCGTCCCTGCACCGAACTTGAGCCCTGAGCAGTACGATGGCCACCCCATAACTTGTTCTCCTACTTCCCAGTGAGTCGATGCTGAGATCACCAGACAGCAAAATCATACATTTGATATTGCAGAGTAATAATAATAAAAAAAAGGCAGGATAATTATTTTAAATTGTTAGTCTTCCACTGCCCCGGGAAAACAAATCTAATTGATGTCTGATATACATCGGTGGTATTTAAATATTACAAGAATCAGAAAATAGTTTGTGTTAGCATAGGCATTTTAAATACACTTATTATTCTCTTGAGATGGTTGAGATTAGATTGCCAAAAATGGCGTTTTCATCCAGTTGGTGTTCTCAGGAAAATCCCTGTGAACCTCACCTGCTGCTTTTCAGGTACCTCGCAGCTCCAAACCATAAATAAGGTTCAAAGTGAAATGTAGAGAACCATAAAGGTAAAATGGAATGGAAATGAAGCTGGGTATATGAATTTTGGTGATTTGAGGAGTTCTGATTTGAAGAGTTAGTGTATTTGGCTGGTTTCTGACAACAAGCAGGATGCAGAAGTTTTGGATCGAGGCCAATTCACACCTCCAAGGAGGCAGTGCTGCAGAGTCGGTCCTGCAGCTTGCTTCCCATCAGTTTGCTGAAACCCAGCAAGCCACCAGCTCTGACGGGGCACCCCTCTCAACAAAACCCCGTAGCAGTTGGGGTCAGTGCTCGCACGCCTGTGTTCCCAGCTTGCAGCCACCCCTCTGCGCTGGGACAAGCACCACTGGCTCACCCTTCACACCCAAACAGCTGAACGCCATAGTTTTTGGGGTTTGGCTCTACGAAGGCCTTGCCATTTTATCCTTCTAGAAACTTCTCTGCTTAACCTCAGGCTCTGGAGCCCTCCTGCCCCAGCCGGGGCTCCTCACCCACCGCAGCCGAGGCGTGCGAGCCTCCGCAGGAGGAGGCGGCTGCGTTTTCTCCCCCTGCACGCAAAACCACCCAACCCCACGCCCACCCCCCCGGTGCAGCCGGCTCTTAGCACGCCCTGGCAGGGGCTGCAGCCCCCCGGCACGGCTCTGACCCCCCGGCTTTCCTCCCCTCGGGCCCGAAGGCACGGGCGCCGTCGCCCTCCCGGTTTATTTTTAGCTGGCGGCGCGGCGGGGCGGGCGGGGCGGCCGGGGGAGGACCGGGGGAGGACCGGAGGAGGGAGGGAGGACCGGGGGAGGACGGAGAGAGGACGGAGGGAGGACCGAGGACCGAGCCCCGAGCCCCGAGCCTCGGCGGCGACCCGAGTGCGGGCGAGCAGCGCCGCCGGGGGGGAGGGAGGGAGCTCGGAGGGAGGAGAAGCGGCGGGGCTGCGGGCACCCCAAAAAATCAGAGCCATCCTCCCGACGGCCATCCACGGCCCCGCTGCGGGGCGGAGAGCCGGGGGCCCGCAGATGGCCAGCCCCGGGCTGGAGCTGGCGGCAGAGGGTCAGCCCCAGCCCGAGCCGGCCTTCGGCGAGGCGCAGAAGTGGATCGAGGTAAGGAGCGGGCGGGATGCGGGTGCTGCTTCCTCCTCCTCCTCCTCCTCCTCCTCCTCCTCCTCCGCCGCCGGCTCAATCCCTTAATCGCATTTCCCCTCCCCGGCCCTAAGCAGGAGCGGGAGGCAGGTGCGGGGAGGCCGCGACCCCCAGCGGGGGGCTTCCTTGGGCTATGGGGGTGGAGGGCAGGCTGCGGGTCCCCCCCCCGGCACACTGCGGGGACATGGCGCTCCCGCAGCCTCCAGCCCCGCAACCCTGCAGCCCCGCAACCTTCAGCCTCCATCCCCGCAGCCTCCATCCCCGCAGCCCCCGCCGGGGGGGGCCGCGCAGGTACCGCGGGCGCGCATCGGGGCGGCCGGGGGCGCGCATCGGGGTGCCCCCATCCCCGTGCCCCCCTCGCTCCGGGCCGTGCCCATCCCGCGGGGCCGCCTCGCCGCTCGGCTGCGGTGATAAAACGTGGAAAACAGCCGGCTTGGGGGGCGAAACCAAAGGGTTAAATATTTTGGCGTGGGGTGATAGGGGAGCTGGGAATAGCCCGCGGTCCGGTTGCGGGTCGGGAAGACGCGTGAGGGTGGTATCGGCCGAGATGGCAGGGGAATAGCTGCCGGGAGCTGCGGGCTTTGCGTTTAATCTGCAGCTTTCCGTAAGCCGCAGGAGATGCCGGGTTCCTGGCGAGGCTGGGCGAATTCGCCTGGAAATCGCTGCAACTTCACGACTGCCTAAACCCCGGGTGCACACTGCAGGCGGGTCGGGCACGGGGTCTGGAGGCTGTCGGGATTCGGGGTTCACCCCGACGCCAGCCGAAAAGGTAATGCTGTGTCAGGCTTGGGGGGGTTTGCACCGACACAGCTGGCTGGCTGCTGCGGGACCGGGGGCAGGAAAGCAGTGAGGAGCGGGGAGAGATGGGGTTTTGTGCCGGTGGGAGGTGAGTGGGCTGCCTGCGAGAGGAAAAGGGGAGCGCAAATGAACGCTGGTTGTCTTGGGAAGACGGACCCATAGCTGTACATCCCGCTTTGTAGCACATGACCCTGCCATACATGCGGTACGCGAAATCCCTTGTGACCGCGAGTGCTGCTGGCGGCTGACAGAGCCTGGCACTCAGCGGCAGAGCAGTCCTCTGTAGGTAACGAGGCTGCCAGCAATTACCCCGGGCATGATAATAATTAAGGGAGTGTAAGCCTTCCTGTCTCAGAGCAGAAACTCGTGGGTCAGGCGGAAACATCCCTCCTGGGCAGCTTGGCCGTGACGGGAGGTCTCACACCCGTCCTTGTGTGATCCAGGGCCCCATAAGCAGGGTGCGAGGGCTCGCAACGCCTCATGCACTTGATGCAGGTCCAAAGGACCCACATGCATATAAAGGAAGCCGTATATGGCTTCTTGTGCTTCCTCCATCACTGTTTTTAATCTTCTGGGTGTGCGGAAGGCAGGGTGAGATCTGCGAGGTGGGACTGTTACTCTTGGCACCTTCCTCCCGCTGGGGAGCGTGGCAGGAGCCGGGGGCACTGCTGTGGCCGTGGGGCTGGGGGGAGCGTCTGCCTCTACGGCAGCGCCCACAGCGGGTGCTCCTGCTATGGGAAGGCAGGAAGGAGCCGCCTGTGAAGTGAATGTGGTTTAATTTGCCTCAAGAATGATATTTCCTTCTAATCACAGCCCGGTGTAAGCTCTGGGGCATGAGGGTTATTACCTCTTGCAAAAATGTGGTCGGCATTCCCCCGATGGCTTGGACTGAGCAATTAGGCAGAACTTGACATATTAGTCCAAAGTTACTGAAAAGCGGCAGCAGTCTTAACATTCCCAAGATTTTATTTGTTTATTATGGGTATCAACATTCATGTGCTAACCCTATTGATCTCGGCGAAAACCAGAAACGGGGTTCATGCTGTGTCCAGCCCCTGAGTCCATCGGCTCCAGTTGGCTCCGTGGTTATCTCTCACCAGTGTATTCAGTTGGCCTAGAAGTGTTAGCAAATGTCCAGCTGTGGCTTCTAACTCTGCTCTGGATGTTTAAAGTGAAGTGAACTCTCAAAGGAAAATAAAATAAACAGTAGCTGTTGTAAGCAGGGCTGCTGAACCTGCCTCGTACGGAGAAGACAGACTTGGTGGGGGCGTCAGCAGTGGGAGACAGCTTAAAACCTGCCTAAGACTGTGAAACAGAGCTACACAAGGAAATGGGGGCAGAAATGGGCAGATCTGAAACTCTGAGCTGGCTGTGCATTTTTATTTCTACAGAGTAAGTTGTGTGGCTGGCGGGCTGGATTCTCATCTGGTTTGAATAGTCGTATGAGCGCTGTCACCATTGTGCAGCGCTGACAGGAATCCGCCCTGTGGTCGGCACTGCATTTCTCCTCTGGCGGGGCTAGGAAGGGCGGCTGTCCTCTTTCGCAGATGGAGAGCCACGGCACAAAGTGGTGAATGTCTAAATCTTCAAGGACTGAGGTACTTCCCTTCCTCCAGGCAGAAGGTCTCAGAGGCCTTTATTTACTCCTGGGGCGTCTGATGTTTCACCAGAGCACGTCTCCGGGGTGCCGGGAGTTTTCTTTTCCCTCCGTCAGAGTTACTTCACAGAACAGGGCAGCCCTAAGTTGCGCTGAAGTTTGGGTGGTTCCTTGTAACAATCTTTTCCCTTTTGTGTCTCCCTGGAGCTCTGAGCCAGAAGTGCCAAGGTGAACACCTGAGCAGGCCAAGGGGCCTGAGCTCTGATTTCAAGTGGTGTTAGACTTGACGTGAGCTGCGCGTTGCCCAAGGTGGCATTTGGGGACTCTGTGGGCTTTCCGCTTTGATCGTGAGACACTTTTGGTAGGAGGTTGGAGTTCAGCCTTAATCACATATTTAATTCTGCATAAATAGCAACCGCACTTCCCTCTGTGTTAGAGTAAACCGGTTCTATTATTTTAATTTAGCTTGGCATGCACTACTTAAGTAAAGAATGCCCTCTTAATGATAAAATGTACCATATAAGTAGCACTCAGAAGACTTAAAATAAAGGCACCTGATGAAAAACCCTGTGAGACAGCTACATTGGTCTGCATTATTAAAGGTGCAGTATCCCATTTCAATTAGTGCATCTCAGTTTCACTGAAAGAATATATCAGCCTTGTAAAGTGTAGTGGCTTACTAAAGCGAAATAACAAATCTAATTTAATCTACTGGCCTGTAATTTTAAAATGTCAAGGTTCCCAGTGTGTGTGCTTAAACTAGAATAACTGATGGCTGAAAGAACATCTGTATAAACAGAGTTATTCTTGCTGCACAGACTCCAGAGCAATACAGTAATAAAGTCGCATTTAATACTGGTGCAACTCCTCAGGGTATTGTTATCTCATCATCGCACCTCCTATCCTTGCCTCATTAATATGCTCCATCCTCATTGTTGAGACTTGGTTCAATTAGGGATGGCTTTTCCATAGACTTGTATTCCTTAGTAAGTTTGCCAGCTGATAAGAAAGCTTCCTTTATAGTTGTATGGTAATAATAAGGCATGTTTTCTGTCCCCCGTAGTCAGCATTTGACTTTGCTATTCCCTCTAGATGTGTATGGGCTAAAATGCAGCAACTTACAAGTCTGTCACTTTTCTCTTGTATGTATTCCTCTACAGAGTCCTCTTGTTATGGAGAAATTCCCCACACAGAAGGGTTTGTTGGTTCTGAATTTTTCTCCTTACCGCTGTCAGATTTCTGCATTGAAGGCAGCAGTTTTAATTTGGTAACAGTGGCCATGCTTCTAGAAGTGGGACCCGGTGTATTTACTATTTCTGTATGCATCAGGTCGCACAGCAAAATAGACAGGTCACTTCTACACCACCCTATCTGTGAAACGATGCAAGGGGTATAAAACCAGCAATTCAGCCAAGTAAACAATGTTATTGTCTTTTTACTGTCTTGAAACAACATTTCTTTAGGGCCTCTCCCTCTTGTGCTGGAGAAGTTCTAGAGAGCTGAGGCTTATGTCTTCCATTGCGAAAATGGGACTTAAATGGAGATGGAAGTAGTTCATTGACAACATCTTTTCTGTGTGGTGAAGGGACTGGATCAGATAATCTGATGGAGGGGTCTGGAACTTGAGTAATTTACAAGCTGATTTATATGGCCTTGGAAATGTGGTATGATGCTGACTATAGTGCCCCGACTTTGAGGAACATCAGAGATAAAGCTCTTTTTATTGAAAGTATTGGTTAAAAGCATTGATTGGCTATGCCTATGAGTAACCTACATCCTGCAAGAGGTTTCAGGTTGCTACTGCAGTAGCGTTTCCCAAGTATGCATAGACATCTAGTCTACCTTTGCTTTCAAGCAAACTTCAAGGTGCTTGAACAGGGACTCTAGTCCTAGAATGGTGGTGCCTCTAGCCAACTGGGACCTTCAGCTGCCACTGCAGTCTCATGGTTACTTGGACAGAAATCCAACAGACACTTTTCAACAGAGAGATTCTCAGTTACCTCAGTGGGCTTTCAATAAGGGCCTCATGGTTTGGAAGGGAGTTTTGGCTGACGGGTTTGACAGTGCCCTAACTTTCCAGCTGATCTGTCTGTACTAATCTCAAGTCTCTCGTCTTGGTGGGAGAGATGAGGATGTTCCTCAGACTAGAAGGAATCCATGCAAATAGTTTGGACAAGCTGCCTGATTTGTGGACAACTAAAGTTAGGCTATATGAATATTTCCCACAACGTGGGAGCTATAAAGAGTCAAAAGGTGGCTGACTTCTGGTCCACGATGGATGTGAATTCAGAATAATTTTACCGCGGTTATTGTGACTGGACTTGGAGAGGAATTCTTCTCTTCTTTCTCTACATCTCCAGGGCAGCATTTAGTGGCTGCAGATGGGGTTGATGTGATGCTCTTCGTTCTGGCTGAATTAGTCATTCAGTGGAATGAAAAATAGATTGTTCTAAAGGGGTGGAAGAACCTGCCCAAACTCTCTGACCTGTCAGACTATCATCTTATAGAAATGTTTTCTTCTCCCAGTTGCCTGGCAGCTGACCTTGTGTCCTGTGTACATGGACCC